AAGTGACTCTTTACTAACCTCACTGAGTAAAAGAATGCCAACATTCTTCGATCTTGTTGCAAAGCAGTAATTTGCACTTTTGGATGACATGTCGGCGAAATAGATACCCTTACCAAACTAGGATATAATTCGAGAAAAAAAAATTAAATGATGGGTGCATGGAATGTAACGTAAGAAACCAATATATGTAATAAGTTCTCTATGTTTGAGTTCTGCCAGAAACTTGCAATGAATGAAAGATGAACAACTGAATGAAAAAAATGAGTAAATAAATAAACAAGTGAATCCGATAACTTAGAAGTTTCGTGCGCAGCGGTTGTTTGGCTAGCCTTATTGATGCGTCCAGTAAGCAAGCGGAGCGTCAAAGTTAACAGCGGCCCTATGGTGGTTGTGGAGCGAAAAACAAGGAAGGTCAAGTGACGTAACGAACAGCCTTAGTTAATCTCAAAACTTGGTTAGTGTCAAATTTTCGTGACAGATTTAAAAATATGTAAAATATAAGCGTACTTCTTTCAATTAGCTTATCTTTTCACGATATTTCTTCGAAAAGGTCTTCCTGTAAGTCTTAAATTTAAATAATCGACCAGCTTTTCTAAGTAAAGAGTTCTTACCATGTACCCTGTCACTGGAGCCTCTGGCGGAGCTATCCTCAATCCTTGACTTAAAATGCCAACCCAGTTTGTTAAACGAGATCCATGCCAGAGAAGCATCCTGCACAAATGACGACAGAATTAGAAAAGTTGCCTACTCATCATCTAGTAACTATCAAAGAGGCTGTTGTAAGAGTAGTCTTGCTTTAGAATTTTTTTTTTGCGGGGTGGGTAGGAGTTGGGGGAGGGGGAGAGTAGGGTCAATAAGCACCTTTTCTAACGACCTATCTAGAAATTTAGAGGACACTTTTCTTTCTCCCATAGCGACTATCCCCAACAAGCTACTCACCTGTTACCCACATCAGTGAAATCTTTCTTTTCATGCTCCAGTGCAAACACATCCAGTAGTTCCATGTCATACTGATTATGAGTAGAAGCATGAGTATTCTTTAGATATTTAGATATCATCTGTAAGAAACAAAGAACAGTTTTCCGCTTTTAAAGCAATTTCTCAGGGAATATTTAATGAGATGCAGTCTATGTAAGATTGAACATGTTTTTCCCAATTTCTTGTTAAAGTTTGCCACTACAAAAAAAAAATCTTTCTTTATTCCACAAAAAAACTCAAACGTTTTCAATATTTCCGTAAGTATTAACCCTTTGCACCCCAATATCAGTATCCATATTCTCCACACTCTTCAAAGCTTCTTAGGTTAACGGTCATTTTCTGTATTCTCATGATTTTAATAGATGATTCAGCAGTATTACTGTAAAGAGAAATTAGATGCTGATCAAAGGGTTAACACACACTAGACTTCCGACATTGCTGACATGAACATGCAGTGTTTGGGATGCTTGTCACAGTAATATGCCACAAGACACTACTCCATTTCCTGACTCGACATCAGATTCTCTGTAGCTCAAAGGTAGTGCATGAAAGCACGATTTAAAAAATCTTCTACCTTAAAATCATTATGCTCATGATCAAGGGGCTTCAAAGCACAATGAAGTGTTTTGTAATGCTTGTCAATGGGATGTTCAAGGGATTCCTCTTCTTCTTGCAAGGCCTTGACAGCAATTTGAATGTCTCCTAAGGCCTAAAAGAGACATAATCAACATAAGTAAATTCAATGTACAAAGTTTTGATAATCAACACAAAATGTTAAAGAAATTGTCAAGTACCAAATGCAAATTATTTCCAAAACTGTCATGTCTGGTTAGATAGTTTTATCAGTGTTACACTGGACTGTAAAATTTATAGATGAATTCATAAAAATCATGTGTTAATATTTTTCATCATAATGACCAACTTTGCAGTCAGAAAGATGAATGAAAATACTACATTCTGGTTGGTCACCTGATCAGGCAAGGTAGGACTGTCTTATGAAAAGCCTGTTGAACTTTCAGATCTAACACTTGGATTTTTTAACACAAAGTGATTGTTAAACTGCAGCAAAATCATTTTCAAACAAACCCTGCTCTTTGAAGTCCTGTAACTCATATCTTTTCCATTCCTGTAACTTGTTTACCATGGACTTATGTTTGATGTAGCGTTAAAGGAGAGTGATTTAAGAGGGAAAGCCAATGGGTGAAGACCCTGCTGTTCCTCCCTTTCTTTCTCAACCCAATTTTTTTGTGCTTCGAAAGTCAGCCAAACGTTTCTATGAGCAGTCCTTCCTTTTTGGCTAGGTCCGTTGTGTGTAAAAATTGTTGTTGATGCGCAGCACAGAACTTTGGGAGTAAACTTATCAAAGAATTTGGTCTATATTCAGCAATCTTGACTCCACATTTCTTGATCAACACATTATGACCAACAGAACACCATACATACCTCTAACAAATCCAGTTTGATCTTGACATCCTCTGTTGTTCTAAGGAGAGGTGGTCTTTTCATCCTGAAGGAGGAAGGAATTTAATGGTTTTATATGATTAGCTCTTCATAAAAAACATCTTAGCAGTGCTAATCAATATATTTTCCTCAAAGTGCAGGGCTCATTTGGGTTCAGCATATTAATTTTTCAGAAAGTGCTTAATACAAGGTAAAAATATGGTGGCATTCTTTTCAGCAGATACAGTACAGTTATTTCTGGTGGCTGGTGTGTTGGCTTAATACTACTCACTTACCCAAAACAGTGAGGAATTCTTGTGTAGAACTCATCACATGCTTTCACCAGTTTAGAGCCAAAGTCACTGTTTCTTATGCAAGTATCAATCCTCTTCAGGGCTTCATAACCAGCTTTAATCTGGTCTGTGGTAAGCTTTCCTGGAAAGATTGCATGGAAAATGCATAAAAGATTGGGCGAAATAAAGCCAATTTCCTAAGGTCTCACAACAAGGTAATTATTTGATTGACCTTTAGGATGATCCACACTTTGGTTCTATGGCTTTCGATTTTCCAATGGCAGAATGATATGACATAACAAAACAAAATAGTAGGCCACTAAACTTAAGCTAAATACAGTGGAATTGAAATTTTGGAGGTGTAGATACTAAGGGTCAAGAAGGAAAATCACAGAGGATGCATATGACCAGGGAATTGCATTGCTAAGAGGAGAACTCACCAAAATAACAATGATCACAATGTGCCATTTACTGCTACTGAAAACTAACTGAATGAAATGAAATATCATGTTTCATATGGTATCCCATGGTTTCTCAACCTCATTGTCTGATGAAGACTGACAGCATGGGGGCAAATCATCCTAATCTTCATCACAAGACATGAAAATCTAAATCAAACAACAAGACCCTATTGTTACTTAAGTATCTTCTATATAAATCCTGTAGTTACCAAGAGGTGCCTTTCTGGTGTCATACTTCATCTCCTTCAACATTTCTTCCATTGCCTGTACATTGCAGATCAGTTCTACCAAGTTCTGGATTCTCTTGTCCAGTTTGCTTTCTAAAGTAGGTTTTTCTTCTTTTACAGGTGCATCAACTTGATCTTTTTCCTCCTTGTCAGCATTGTAATCCATGATCAGAAGATCATACTTCCCTGGGACTTTTTGAAAGTTATGTCTGTCCTCCCAATCATTTTTGGTCTTGTCTGTGAATCTGAAAATCAGATACACATTTCCCTTAAATCAAGTTTGTGTCCCCTGTATTTTTACAAAAATGTTTTTCTATCTCTTTGATTGGCCCTGAGATATCAAGTTGATTTTCTCATTAACCCCTTTAATGCCCAAGATCAGATTGTAAATTCCCTCTGGCTGCAACACATTTTCTTATAAATTTGTTATGAGAATTTGGTATTAGATCAAGATAACAACTTTTACCCATTAAGTTTGAGTATTCTCATCACTGATTTGCTGTATGTGTGCATATTATGGGAAGAAGTAACATGTTCATCACTTCTAGGACTTAAAGGGTCAACAACATCTAAAAAGCCATTACATGTCATAATATTGCACAAGCTGTCTTTCTCATCATTATTATTTTTTTTCCTGGTAAATCAAATTTTTCTTCTGAATATCTTTTCATGATTTTGGATCACAGGTCATATCAAGGGTTTGAAACACATAAATTATTATTTTAAAGCCAACAAGTTGACCTTACTTTTTAGTGAACACTCTTTTAGCCCCCTCAAGATCTGGCCCACAGGTAACTAAGTTGTTTTGACCATTGAATCCCACTGAAAAAAAAAACATACATGCTGATGGTGATTGGATAAATGCACACAATCTTTGCAAGCAATAAATCTGGCAGACTGTAACAAGACAGACTCCCAGGACACATTACAAAACACAGCTTCTGGTTCAAGTGAAACTCTACTGGGGGAAACAAATAGGAACCAAAATAAGGATGTTAAAATTTGAGTTCTTTATAGAAATAGAGAAAGAAGTTTTTTCAACTTGTTATGAGCATGAGACAAAGAAAAAACACTTTTTCTTTTCCTTTTAGCCACAAATCATCATAGCATTACTTTCAAAGATCAGATGTTACTATCACTACCTCTTCCCCATCTTTGCCAGACATAATACTTCTTTGCTTGGTTATCCTCCAGTAATTGAATGAGATAGTACTTGTTGTTGTTGTTCATGACATTTGTCTGCCGAGGAATTGAAACATCTGGATATACAACACTTGTGAAATGGCAATTAAGACTACATAATTTCATTGACATCAGTACACCTATAGATTAATTAATAATAATACTGTTATATATTGTAGAGCGAAGAGGAAATGATAGGAAAGGAAACTATCAATGTTGAAATATAGTTTGATTTAACATAAAATTATCAATTTTTAATTTTAAGAAATGTGTGCCAGCAAGTGAGGAAAATTAATAACAGGATCTTAGAAGTGACAAGGATTGAAGAATTACCTGGTTCAGCATTACATCCCAAATGTCATCTCCTTCTGTAAACACATGAGTGCTGTCTTTAATTGTGCAGAAACTGTCCACTGGAGCCTTTCCACTGAACACAAATGACTTCACATCACCTTTAAAGAAAGAGGTCTAACAAATGAAGCAATGCTAATCAAATTTTTGACTCACACATGTGGCTCTTATTGAGGTACATACCAACTTTTCCATGTGACAAGAAAAAGTTTGATCTACAGAACACTTACCATTTTCAGCTTCAGCTTCTTTTTTCACTTTCTTGTTTGCCTTTGCAGCACTCTTATCTGCTGTCACTGCTTTAGGTTGGGTCTTTGAGACTAAGGTGAGAAAAATTGTAATATCTAAACCACAAGATTCATCTTAATCTTTTTTCATAATTCAATCATCAAATAATGGTAAACTAGGATTGATTTCCCCAATAAGGTTTTAGCAGCAACATTCATTTTCACAACTACCATAAAATAACTGATTATTGCCCTCTAACAAGAATACTGTCAATATTAACTTACTAGCATCAGTGGCCTTGATTCGATGTACATTCTTCACTCCCCTTCCAGTTTTAGTTGTTTGAACTTTCTTTGCTAAATCAAGAATAAGTTCTTTTTTATCATCTTTGAACTTGATGCTGGATAACCCTACCATGTATGCTGCCTCAAAAAGGTAAACAATAGGCTTAGAGTATTCTGTCCAATTTCCTTTGGCATCCTCATATTCCCAAGTATCTGCAATGAGAGCAATTGGCCAGCATACCATTAGAAAAATTTTCAATAAATTGTTCAAAGACATTGTCAGGTGGTCATTAGAGGGCAGTAGGCAACAGAAACCCCTCAAACCATTTTGCACTGGCTACTTTGTGAATTATGATCACAGACAGAAAATAAGCATTTTTTAACTGTTTCTAACATCAATGCTCGACATAAAAAATTACACAAACATGTCCCAGAATGCTATAAATGTCTCAGAGAGATTCAAATATTAATTTTTTAGGGGTAGTACGCCCGCAGACCCCACAAAAAGGGGATGTGAATTTGCAACACATTGTCCTTGTTATCCAAGCATCATTCAATTCAGTGGCCCTCTCAGTTCAAATTAACATCTATTATATTTTGTAATCAATCCTGAGTCTGTTTTGCTTCACAATGCTCAGCAACTGCTCTTTCTGAAGCCATAATAACATTCCCTAGTCATTTCACACTTTTTGGAGTTTACTTGCAAAATACCTATACAAACAGCAGTTCGAATCATTTCTGTACTTGATAAAATGACTTTCAAAATAGAGGGAACAACAAATAATTTTTGGATGGGAGTAAAAATAAGAGGCAATAATAAACCTAGACAGAATAACACATCCTTAAGGATTAGGAATATTTATCAAAATGGATATGCCAAATGACAATATGAAAGATTTAGGTAAAATTCTTCATAAAAGAAGTTCAGGTTTTGAAGTGGGTCTACTTAAAAGGTTGGGCATTCTCATGTACAGCTCCTAGTTTTAAAACAAGGTCAATAAAGTTGTCTTTCTTTCACCAACTCCCTACTCTCTTTCCATGTAACAACCTATAAAGGAAGAGGCAAGCACACATCATCCTCTTACATTCATCTGGATCTACACTTCCATCCACCAAAGTGCATCTAATCCTTTTTTCCCATCCAGTTTTCTTATTCCTCTGCACCATCCTCTCAAATATAACTGTGATCTCAGACTTGCCATCTTTGATATCCACATCTGGTTTTCCAGCTTTAAAGGCTTCACTGATAACCTCAACCTGATTAGCAGAAAACTTTGTCCATGTTGACTTATCAGACTCTCTTTCCCATGCTACTGGTTTAAGACTGGGTGAAGCATTAGTTGGTATTTTACCATTTGAATCCAATTTCAGCTTTTTAACTGGTGAAGCATTTCTTTTTTTGTCCTGGTCATTGGTGCTGGCTGAAATTTTGATTGGGATGTATGATATTTTAGTAAAAACTGACACAGCTGACAGCACTAAGGGGTGCTCTGTTGGCTACTCAAACTGCTAATATCCTTTGCTATTCGCATGGCTGGATGAGTTCAGCTCATCGGAAGAATACTCTCCTCAGCGATAACATAATTACTTTACACAGAAGCGTTACAAAATTTTTTAAGTAGTTCTTGCTGTCGTGTTTTTTTTTTGCGGTGAGTCACATGTAGTTGACATTTGCAGACGGCAGATTGTATCAACTATGTATGCCTTTAGCCCTATTTATTTTCGTTTTAGTAACTCCTTCCGTTAATAACCACTAACTGATAATCGTTACTTCTGCTAGAGCTGGAAATCACTTCTTTACGTTTTTGGATACCTTTAGGAGTCGTGATCATTGCGCGTACAAAGCTTGCATAGCACTTGTTTAATTTTGCTGTTCAGTCCACGAAGTCGAATAAGAAAATCACATCACAAACACAGCTGCTTAAATCTATGTGTATAATCAAAATGGATTTTTCACTTTCTAATACTTACATGGTGCTTTGCGCCGTCTCGTTCTCTCAGACATATGGCTCTATCTATTTCATTCGGGTTTTCGCTTTGTGACACTTTGTTTACGTAGAGATTCAAAATGGCGCACCATTAAGGTTAACTTTCCCGGGAAATTGGCGCGAAATTGTTGTCGTCGCCAGGCCACTTACGCCCTTCCGACGGAGCTACCCTTCCCTTCAAGTTCTAGTTTTGCTGATATTTCAATCACACGGCCTCATCCC